TGAAAGAAAATTATTTAATTCTTTTAGAGAAAGGAAAATTTCAAGTATGCATTCTCTCTTAGAAAACTGAAGATAATGAGAAAGATCCTTGTCAATTGTTAATTACTTTTCTTTAAAAATGGCTTCTGCAGATAATGCAGCATCATTACATTCTTAAAAGCATTTTTTACAAGTTAAATAGTTGAATTAAACGAAGGGGCTTAGAGAAAATATCTTAAATTTTATAAATGTATTGTTGCATACTCACTTCTTAAGAGATATAAAGAGAATCTAGATTTTTAAAGATCTCAATTCTCAAGTTCTCCATAAATTAAAAAAGAAAATTCTAAGCTCATAAAACAGCAAAATCGAAGCCACTTTAGCCATTGACTAGAGAAAACTAGGCATGAGTTCTTAAATTTACCACTGCCTCAAAGTACATTACCAGTATTTCACAATTTTCTTAAAGCATCAAAGTCATGTGTTAAAGTTAGAGGTTACTTAAATCTAATGGCATCTTATTGTTGGGCCTCCAGATACATGGCCAACAATTTTAAAATTATATGGAATTGTCAATTCAGGTCCAAAGCTAATTCTGATTTTAAGGTTAGTGTTAATTTCCAAATAAGCTGTTTTTCTTCTACAATCAAGTTAAAGAAAAGTTGCAATTCTTTCAAGTGTGAAAATAGGGAAAATTCTCATTCTCTTCAGCTCTCAATTTAACAATTCTTATTTCTCGTCAATGATTCAAAGAAAATTTCTCCCTTCAATTCTAGTTTTTTTCTTCTGATCTCTTCTACTACTCTCTTGGTTCCCCTCCTGTCTGACTACTTCTCAGCCTCCTTTATCGTATCATCATATATACACGTCCCAATGACTGGTCTACCCCCAAACAGTGTCTGTCTCTATTCCTGTCTGTCTGTCCATATAGATTTTATCATTTCTATTCTGGTGACTGTTAGATATAGATATAGAGATATGTATGTACATATGTATATATAGATATAGATATAACCCTACTGTCTGCTAAGCTGCACTTACCACAATCTTCCTATTGAAAATATTAAAAAGGATATCCTGTAGGCATCTCAAACACTCAATGTGACAAACAGAATTTGCTCTCTTTTCCCTAACACCTACCTCCAAAATTCTACCTTGTTTCCAGTCACCCAGGTTTGCAACCTCAATATCATCTTCAACTACTCACCTACACTTGCCCCACCTATTCAATCAGTTGAAAAGTTTTGTCATTAATAATAACAATAATAATAGCTAGCAGTACTAAAGTACCTATTATGTACCATGTACTGTGCTAAGTGCTTTAAATATGTATTATCTCATTTGATGCTCACAACAATTCTGTGAGGTAGGTACTATTATTGTCCCCATTTTACAGATGAGTAAAATAAGGCAAAAGGATTTACTTTGAACTTAGGTCTTCTGGATTCCAGGTCCAGCACTCTATCCATTATACCACCTAACTATTTCCACATCTCTCACAACCAACCCCTTCTCTCCATTCATATAGCTACCACCCCAGTTCAGACCCTCCACTTCTTGCTGAGACTTCTGCGATAGCTTTCTATTTTGGCCACTGTCTCATTTCTCTTGACATTAACCTATACTCTATACAGTTGCCAACGTGATTTTCCAAAAGCCTATACTTGATCACGTCATATACCCCTACTAACTCCAGTGGTTCCATATTGCCTCTTAGAGCAAAGACAAACTCATTTGCTTGGCATATAAAGCCCTTCACAAACTGGCTTCAATCTACCTTTCCAGGCTTTATTACACATTATTCCCCTTCACTCACAGTACAATCCAACCAAAGTGGCTTTCTTACTATTGCTCAGACATGGCAGTCCATCTTTTACCTCTATGCATTTACAATGATTTTTCCCCATGCCTGGAATACATTCTCTTCTCACCTCTGTTTACTAAGATCACTAATTTTCTTCAAGGGCCAGTTCAAGCATTACCTTCTATATAAAGCCTTTCCTGATATGTCAAGCTACTAGTACATTCCTCCTGAAATTATCTTGTACCTCTTCTGCACATACTTATATAGGAACATGTTGTATCGCATTTCTACCCCCAGGTTATAAATTCCTCAAGGGAAGGAACTTTGTCTTCATGTGCTCAGCTGTCTAGAAAAAAGCCAGTTCTTAATAGTTGCTGGTTAATCCATGCTGACACACACACACACACACACACACACACCCCACAAAGCTCCCCTTCCCTATCCCTTCAAGCTATCATCCTATCACTCTACTCCTCTTCAATGTCAAACATCTGGAAAGTAATCTACATTGGATGCCTATGCTTCCTCACCATAAATTGATACTCCTTAACCTTCAACAATCTGGTATCTGTTCCCATCACTACTTAATTTTTCACAAGTAAAATGTACGTACTTGTTTCCAAGTACAAAGTATGCTGAATTTGTAATTAGGGTATGTGAGTGACACAGTCTCTGCTACTTACTGTGTGATCCTGAGCTAGTCACTTAAACTCAGTTTCAGTTTCTTCATCTGTAAAATGAGGGGGTTAGACTAGTTCATCTCTAAGGTTCCTTTATAGCTCTAAATATATGATTCTATGACTTCCAGACCATCAAATCCGGTTACCCTATAACTCAGGTCAAAGAGAATGAGGGCTTTGTGCAGAATTTAACACTTAATTACTTCTTGCTTCTTATGGTTCTCCTCCTTTGGCTTCTATGAACATTCTTGGCTAGTTCTTTTCCTACCTCTTTCCTATTTTCTTCATTGGCTTTTCTTTCTCCTCCCACCCTGTAAAAGTGACTCTTAACTAAGCACTCTTCTCTTTAAAAAAAAAAGTCATATCTTTATTTTTTACATTGCCTTATATATCCCTCTGCAACAAGACAAATAGATAAAAAAGAAGAAAAACAACTCAGCAAAACTAACCAGCACATCAACTGTATCTCCAAGTGTAGGCTATGATTCACACCCATAGCCACCAACTCTAACCACCCCCCCCCGCCACCTCTGCAAAGAAGGAAGGCACATTTTCTTGTCTCTTATCCAGGGCACAGCTTGCTCATTAAAATTACACAATATTCAGTTTCTTTGTTTTGTCCATTTACATTTTCACAGTCACTTCACTCTTCATTAATTCATAAATGTCTTCCCATGATTCTCTGACTTCTTCATTTTCATTTTATATGGCACAATGATATACTCATAACATAGTTTGATTGTTGCCATTTCCCAATTCTTTGCTACCACAAAAAGTGCTACTATCAATATTTTGGTGTATATAGGACCTTTTTTGTCATCTTCAACTTTAAGTGGGTATTTTCCATTGGGTATATGTACCTAGCAATGACATTTCTGGGTCAAAATCTATAGACAATTTAATCGTTTTATTAAAAAGTTTGCTAGTTACTTTCCAGAAGGGCTGGACCCATTCATAGCTTAACCAATACTGTCTTTCCAAAGCCCCCCCAAAATTGACCATTTCCATCTTTCATTAGCTCTGCCAATATGTGAAGTCAAACTTCACAGTTGTCGTGATTTGAATTGCTAAGATTGAATATTTGGAGTCATCTTTCATATGGCTATTAATAGTTTACAAATCTTTACTGTCTCCTTTCCCTCTCTCTCCCTTGATGATCTTAACTCAATCAAACATAATAAACATTAATGAAGTAGTGTCTACTATATGGGGGGAAAAAAACTATGCTAGGGGTCTGGGGATAGATAAAAATAACAGTTCTTGTCCTTACAGGCAGATAGGTCACGCCATGGTGCACAGAGTGATGGGCCTAGAATCAGGAAAATGCGTTCAAATATGGCCTCAAACACTTCCTAGCTGTGTGACCCTGGACTTAACCTCTATTTTGCCTTAGTTTTCTCAACAGTAAAATGGGGATAATAATGGCACCTAATTCTCAGGGTTGTTGTGAGAATCAAAGGAGATGATATTTGTAAAGTGCCAGGCACAAAGTTGATATTATACAAATGCTTATTCCTTGCCTGCCCATCCCACAAGGAGACCCAAGGCTCCCAAATGCTATGCAATGAATTTTTCAGCTCCAGAAAGTCACAAAGACCATTTGCTATGACATTAAGAAGGTCTGGTCTGTACTGGATGAAGGACCCATACATATAAAAATCATAGACTACTTAAGTATTTAAGTGAACCTACTATGCTATTGATTGCAAATAATATATCTGATTTTTAACTTTATATTTTCAGATCAAATTCATTCTGAATCTAATGATATTGCAAATAACTCACCTAAGTAAAGCTATTATTTATTATAAGTGCTTTATAATTAGGAACAATTTGAGAGAAAATAGCTCACCTTGTTCAAGATGTTCCACAGCAATCGTCATCTCTCCCTTTATACACAAGTATTTTGGGCATCATATTTTCATTTACATTGGAGATTTTTAGTGTTAAATTCACTGTTTTCTTTATAAATGCCTTCATAATGTGGGCAGAATAATATGATCTTTTAGAATTTGTTAACAATACACATTGCACATCATCTTTGCTAAAAGAGTATCCAAATTGCAAATAACCATCATCATATTCATGCTTCTTCTGTATCAGATTTGGTATTTGAACTTAGCTTTATGGATGTTTATTTCATTATTGATGTGTTAGTTAGCACTTGTGCTTTTTGTTTCTTTAAATTTCCTGATTGTAGTTATCCACAATGATCAGTAATAGAAAAAACATGCATAGTTTTAAAAATCAAACAGATGAATGTACAATAATTTTATACAATTTTGTGCATCCTACTTCATTGGGCATATTCTATTTGATCAATTTCAATTTCAATTAATGTGTGATGATTCTCCATATCAGCAGAATGTACACATAGTATGTAACAGAGGTAAAGTCAACAGGTTTGCTGTGTACACTTGTCTGCCACTACATCTTTTTTTTTCAGAGAACCCTTTGGACAGCTTTACAAAACCACAGGGTTTTGTTAGAACACAATGAAAAGTACTAGACGAAATGATGATCACCATACAACTGAGTGCTCAAAAATGATGCAAGTTTATTTAAGAAACACAAAATCATAAATGATAATATAGCACACATGCATACTCATACATACACAAAGTGATTGAAAAGAAAGTTCCTTGTAGAATTTCTATCATTCACCTAACTCAGGATTGGAAAGCTAAAAGCAACGATACCACTATCTGTTTCCACTATTGCCACCCTCATTTGGAGTACACAACTTTGACTCCAAATGAAAAAACCTATATAATCTTATACTGAGATCTTAGCTAAAAAGCGTTATAGCACATTGTTGAACCAGACATAATCCCAATGAAATCATGCTTATAAGGCTAAAATTTCTATTTGTCAAAGTTTTTTTAACCCTTTATACATATATATCTTTCTGCTAATTCATCCTGTAATAGTGCTAAAATCATTTAACCTTTATGCACCTCAGTTTCCAATACAGCAAAGCAGGAAAATTATAATTTACATTACTGGTGATTCTTAATCTCCAACAATAATGCACAAGTAAATGATGTGTAAAGTCTACATCTCTTGAGAAAATAAGACAACACACATTCCCCCAAAAACTTTTAGTCATTGAAAGTTCCCTTAAAAACAGTACAGTTATCTAACACTTCAGAGTCTCCTCACAACAACCTACTTTATACTCATAGAGGGGCTTTGTTTTCAAAACCCACTATCTGATTTAATCCCCATAACTCTGTGATATAGACAGGATAATATATGATCCCCAATAAAACAGGCATTTAAAAAATACAAATATTAAATAAGGATCAATGGTTTATAATGTATTTATGGACTTTGCTATATATGTAGTTACTGAAAGTATACTATATACATAGCACCAAATGTACTGAAAGTACTATGCATTTGAATTAACTATAATATAGGAAAATAGACTTTTTTTAGAAATTTAGAAAAGAATGCACTAGCAATCCTGTGTTGATTTGGCATAAGCCAAAAATAAATAAACAAATAAACTTGATCTTAAAACCCAAATATGTAACAGTATTATTACTCCTGAAAAGAAACCATGATTTAGGGTAAGACAATTCTGAGTTGCCTGGAGGATAACCTGAACTTTTTAAGAGGAATGGAGGGGTGCAATAATGGCCTAATTCTCCTAGAAATTCTGTCTAATGGCCTTTTATGCAAATTACCTGACCTATATCATAGAAGGTATCCAACCTTGTCAAAAGAATTAATCTCTATCACATTTACAAAATTATTTTCTCAAGTAAACTATGCATTACTAAAAGGTAATTTATTGAGTATTTATTAAGTATTCTGTGAAACTGTACAAAGGTAGTTTCAAAAGCTGTGCCTATTAATATAACACTAACAATATGTGGTTGGTTTTTGACAAAGGAATTTCCTTATCTGACAACTCTTTCATTGTGACTTTAATCCTACATTATAATTTACACTTATATAGCACTGGAGAATAACAAAATGAGCTGTTCACTGGAAATACCCACAGCTATTTGCTACCAGAATGATTTTCTCTTTCAAAAAGTGATGAAGACACTCAAATAATCTAGTTAAGAAAGAAATGCCAAATTTCTTCATAACATTTACACTGATACATATCAACACTATCAACTTCACAAAACAAGTCCAGTCCTGATATTTTACAGATGAGGAAATTGAGGCTGAAAGAAATTTCCATGGCATGCTTCAAGGTCATTCAGTGAATTATTGGCAGAGCCAGGATTAGAACTCATCTCTTGATTTCATTCATCTTTCTACCAGACTACAATAAACATCCTATTCTACTCATGAGCTACCCATGGGTTACTCACAGTTTATCTCCATTTCCTTTATGCTGCTTCTCATTTTCCTGCTTCTTAACCATTAGGTATGGCTGGAGTAAGGGAGGAGAGATTTTTTTAAAAGAAAATGCTAAAAAGAAAATTAAAAATTAAAAAAAAAATTAAAGCTTGTCAGTTTTGTTCTGTGTTGGAAGCTTAGCATCTAGTATTAGAAAAAATAAGGCTGGAAAAAGGAAATAGTCTTAATGAGGAAACTGAAACTATTAGCTACAATAATGATTTTGGATAATATACGTTCTTCATCATCCTAACTGCTAATCCTCTATCACACTGCCCACCAAAATATTTCTCTTGGATTATAGGCATTTTGAGGACTATTTAAGTCAATTAACATTAGCATAAATTATTTACAGTATTAATTAACAATTTAAAATTTCAGGATAAAACAGTCATAGGCAGACATATCAAAAATTTTTTTAAATGCAATAAAAGAAACCACAAAATGTGCTTTCATTAATAAGTCCATGTTCAGAACTGAACATATCGTGTATTGCTGGGAAGCTAGGCAATTCTCTTTGCAAAAATACTGATAGGAAAAGCAAATTCTTGCCTGCAGTTACTATTTTTTAACCTTGCCTCAAAATTCTTTAATTTTTAGAGTTTTGATGAGCAATTCAAACAACTGAGAACAGTGGGAGGCATGTGTTTAGAATCCATTTTTTCCTCGAGAACTTAAATGGCCAGCTACATGCCCAAAAAATTAAAAATATTTAAATGACACTCTGTTCTTCCTATATAAGGAATGGAGAACAGTATGGTCCCACATTCTTTGACACTTGCCAAAAGTTATCATGGCAATTTTGTTTACCTGCTTTCTTTCCCTCAAAGATGGAATTACAACTCATAAAATAAACTGGCATTGTATTCTGCCTTCAGACCCAAACAGGAACTAGTTACATCAGCTTAAGAGTAATAGAAGTTTAAAATAGCCATAATGTTCCATATTTATACACAACACATAAAAGCTCTTAGTTTGCTATGTACTGCACAAGATTAGTAAAAATAAAAACTATCATAAAGAGAGAAATCAAGACATAAACTATACTATAGCTATTATAATTATTAAACTATCTCTTCTTTGAAAAAGGGGAAAAACTCTCAGTATTCTAAAACTTCATGCTTTCACAACTGAAAATTGACCACAAAAGTGGGAACATTTTTATACCATGAAGAATATTTATTAATACATGGAAAAGCAACAGTCTAGGTGTTTAACATTACAGAGTCTTAAAACATATAAAGAGGTCATTTTACATGATTACCTATAAATAAATAGATTGTGCTTTCTAGGTTTTGGCAAGTGTTATATATTTTTATTCATCCATGGAAGCACTGTAAGAACAGAGGCAAAAGAGCCATCATTCACTAAGGATAAAAGTGATAGTGAATATTAATGTGAAGAGAGTTTATGACATGAATGTAGCAGAGACACAAATACCTGAGGCTAAAGAACCAATCTAATAATAATCACATTTTCCTATCAGCTTTCACAAAATGCTGTCACAGACTGGTCACCAATTTACTGTCTTCTCAGCTCTCTGTTTGCCCTGAGTTCTCTAATCATCTCAATTTTTTAAAATCCATGTTTCCTTCACCCTCTGGTCCTTGCCTTCTCCTCCAACATTATTTATCCTGTACATCTTTTCCTGCTTCAGAATAGACATTTCCCAAAAGGAGTCTTCACTGGACCTTTCTTGATGCAAAATGGACTGGAACTGGAAGACAAGGGTGGATGAAGGGCTCTTTTCCTATTACCCAAGAAGCTAGAAAGACAAAGAAAAAACAATAATACAAATTCTTTTCTAAAAGTTAGCACTTACTTTCAAAAACTGCCATCATTATCTATTATTTAACTTATTTCATCTAATTTACCCTAATCCATTTAATTAAGCTGATTTTCCAACTCTTCTAAGATCACTAATCTAAATCTTTTATTCATTGTCCAAGACAACATAGTTTTAAGTCATACAAATGCATAAAGCAATTATAAGTCATCATGGGGACATTTCAGGCAGAATCATTAGACACATTGCTTCAAATAATGCATCCTAGAGCTTATTTTTTTCAGTTCTAAAAGGTCCCTTCTAAACAAAGTCATTAATTCCATCCCTAGTCTGATAGCTGGTTTGACTAAGAGAACCACAGATAAATTTTGTGAAAAATCTAAATACTCGTATCTCAAGCAACAGTGACACCCTAATATATAATACAGTCACTTGAACTGCCTGGAAAGCAGTACACTGAGTTTTGAGTTTGTAAGTCTATGAACCTTTCTAGAAAAAAAAAATGACAAAGAATCAGGAAATTTAATTAGCTAGTTAATTAAACTGCACAGTAACAATAATAAAACCAGAGTAATCAATAAGTTAAATATACAACCAGTATTGTAAGGAAGAGGCTACCAAGAAGCCTGGTACAAACAAGATTTTTAAATGTCTGTATTTTAAAACACTTCATATTCAATGTGGTACGGCTCACAGGTCTAAACATTTTTCATTCAAATCACAGAGTACGCAACAACTAGTACTCAGTTCTTTGTTAGCACACTATGTACCTGGAATGTTCCTAGTGGTTCTTGTTACCATAGGAGTGAGATTATGAATTACGAACTCTGGTACAAATTTTACTGTTTAAAGTTGGTTACAAAAGTATTGCAGTAACAAAAATGAAGAAGTGCCTGGTCATCTTCCCTAATTCTTTCCCTTCACTCTTTAGAGGAAAAAATATATATACACCACCTGATGTACTAAATTATTCTGTTGAATAAAGACACAGAGGCCAAGTAACTTAGATGAAAATTATACCTGTAAGATTTTCTTCCCACAACTGTGTCACACGACAAGGATCCTCAGGGCTGTCCTCTCCCATGTCACATTCCATATTTTCTTCAACCATTAGTGATGTATCCTGAATGATGGTGGAGGGTTCAGAAGTTTATAGTAGATGTCGAGGATAGGGGCCAACTCTCATATCCATCTCCTCATTTAAAAAAAGCAGGATGCTATGTGCTCCATAACACTGATTCTCCTCCCCTGTTTAGTTATACTGTCTCTCCAGGGCTTTAATATTTCCTTACAGTAACTGAATTCCACCCTCAAATTAAAAACCCAATATGTATTTGTACCTTATAAGATCACCCATACATATAATCTTTCATCTACAGAAAGATATAGCCATACAAATGAAATGAGTCTGCATTAGGGGAGAGAACATATTGAAGATTTTTAACAAATGAGTGGGCATGAAAAAAAATCTGTCCCCAAGAAAACCTAATCTTGTGGATAAATGACATACAATGGTATCTTTTCCTTTAACCTGTACCACTACCCCTCTCTATCATGATTTTTCAAAATTAGTGGCTAAGAAAACATTTACCTTGACTTCAGGAAGATAGTATCATCAAAACAAAGGGCCCAGAGTCTCAACAGATAGCATAGGACAACTAGAGAAATTATAAGAAATAGGGCAGAGTCTTCAAAGGATCATCAACCTTCTGTTTTCTTTTATTATAAATTATTAAATAATAATTCACATTTACATAGGCATTATGGTTACAAATCATTTTATATGTATTAGCCCCATAGAGTGGTACAAATAGTAATATCCCAATGTTAGAGGTAAAGACTGAGAAGTTCAGAGAGGTTGTGACCCAGAGGACACAAAGATAATAATCAGCAGCCTCTGTCTTTTGGCATAATTTTTTGCTTTTAATTTCTTGCTTCTTTCCTTTTTCCTTTAAAAATCTGCCCCCATCATTAGCACCCATTTCCACCTGGCTTTACCTGGTATACTGTAATCAGGATGAGCAAGCTCTAAATGCTCCCCCAACATTTATTAGGTGAGGGGCCCTGAGCAAGTCACTTTACCCACTCCGGGCTGGACTTCATGATCCCTCAGGTCTCTTCATGTTCTATACCCATGATCCCACATTTTAAATTACAAGGCAAAAATGTCCAAGCAAGCTTAAAACTAAATCAAAGCAGAGTGGGTTTCCTGCAGTTTTTAAAAACTTTTAAGTGATTCAGTATCAAGGAAAACAAGACATTTAACTGAGCCAGCAACAAATTAAGAAAAGGGTCTTGGACTCCTGGGACACCTTCAGTGCCATGAGATCCTGATGTCTCCTAACCATTTAGATCCCCTCTATTTTGACTGCTTAAACATTCAGTTCTACAAATTGCTCCATTGATATAACCTGATAACTGAGTTTCCTGTATTTAGGAAATAGGTTCTAATTCTTTTCTCTGCTAAAGCCTCACCACTGCCATTGATAGTTAGGAAACAAACTATTAATTCTGCCATCCTCACAACATACCTCCAGAGAGACTTCTCCCTCCTAAAGTCATTCTGGAATAAAAAGGGAATTCCACCATAATTTTTATCTGGATGTTCTGAGGATCCAACTCATACCAATCTCATATTTCCAATCAATCACGTTTTCACAGTCTCATTAAATAATGAAAAGCATTTGGGAGTGTACATGCCATTCTGATCTCAGGGTAGGGCTTAAGGGGATTTGATCAATAAACTGTTAACAGTGCATATCAATTTGTTTAGTAAGCAAATTCCAAAAACAGCACTGGCTATAAATGAGCTTTCAATATAGACATACTCTCTCTAAGCAGATAAAACTGCAGGTATACCTTGCATTAATCACTAGAGGTTCTTAACTTAGGGTCAGGGTGTCTTATGAAATTAGAACATTTAATATTTTGATAATTATACTTCAAAATAATTAGTTTCCTTTGTAATCCTATGTATTTTACTTTAAGCATTTAAAAATATTCTGAGAAGGGACCTGAAAAGGTTTTACTAAACTGTCAAAGGGGCCCAGACACACACACACACACACACACACACACACACACACACACACACACACACACACACACACAAATGGTTAAGAACTTCCGCCTGACACATTAAAGAGATTCTTGAAGAGCTGTGTATAAATGAAAGCTTACAAATATAATCATATTTTAAATTTTAGGATAAATGTCTTTTAAAAGTAGTCTACAAAGGTAATAATTACCCCCATTTTGTATCATCTTTATAAATCCAAATTATACTCTGGCTTTACTTAAAACTGGGAAATACCTGTATATAAATGTTAAAGACACTACTCTAAAACCTTGAAACAAAGGAAGTCTTAGAGATGACCAGATTCTCTAAGCATTCAAAAAGGGATTCTGGTTACATAGCAACCACTAACTTAATAGCTCATGGTTTCAAAGCATTTTCAAATTTATAAAGCACTTTCCCAACAACAATCCTATGAGGAAGGTATTACAAATGTTAATATCACCATTTTATAGGGGAGGAGTCAGGGGCTCAGAAAAATTAGGTAATTTACCCAATGCCCACAGCTAGAGGTCAAGACATTAATAAGGGTCACTAACTAAACCAACAAAGATCTATTTAAGCTCCACTGTTTGGCATTTTTTTGACCATTATTTTGTTTCACAACAACTTTCAAAGAGAGGCAGCTAAGTGTACAATGGATAGACTGCTGGGCCTGCAGTCAGGAAAACCTGAGTTCAAAATCCAGCCTCACATTTATTTGCTGTGTGACCCTGGGCAAATCACTTAACTATTGTTTGCCTCAGTTTCCTCATCTGTAATATGAGCTGGGGAAGGAAGTGGCAAACCACTCCAGTATCTTTGCCAAGAAACCCTCAAATGGGGTCATGGAGAGTCAGACATGACTGAAATGACTGAACAACAACAAAACTTTCAAAGAATTTATCTATCTTGACCAAATATGATATACCACTAAAGGTTATAAATGGTTTCTGAAAAAAAAAAAAGTTTTTAATTGGATATATCTTCTATCATTTGTACTGCATATTAGTGAATAGACTATCACTAGCAACTGTTTTAGCTGAAGTTCATTATAAACTTAAAATGGATAAATTCTAAGATCTTTCCAAGTTGTTTTCTTAATTCTAATCAATATGATACATGGCTAGAAGCTAGAAATGCACGGAGGCCTATGATTCATATTACCACTAGTATCAATTTGTATTCATTACTCATCCTCATATAGGAAAAAATATTTATTTTCAGGTCAGAAAAGCAAGTAGTGAACTGTGGAATGTATATTGCCAATCTTGGTATCCCATAAAAATTTACATTTTCTAATGTTTATCTGCACAACTTTTCAAAAACCCAAATTATAAATACCAAATTTAAGACAGCAAAAAATTCAATCTTACATGCTTTTAAAACACAAGATATCTTAACATAAACCAATTTTTAATTAATAATACACATTCCAACAATGCTTTCCATAGACAAGTTAAAATACTTCCCAATCCAGTTTAAGAATTTATCATTTCCTTTAAGTGACTTTAAGTACTCGATTATTTAAATGTAATATACTCTATATATATACTTCCCTTGCCCCAAGTACTTTATTTTTCACAGGCTATGAGTTTCATAGATTTGCCTTCTAAAATGAAACATCCCTTCTTTACTAACTAAGCTATGAATTATAACTGTCAAACAAGAATATGTAAATCCTCAATTAAAACAATTAGATTGATAATTACAAAGCTAAACTATTACTTTGGTGAGATTTCAAAGGGTTTTTTAATAATTACGTAAAAAAAGATTCTAGTGGCACTAGCTATACAAGATCAAGCAGAAAAAATTTCATAACTCTTACAAATTAAGATTATAAATTGCTAATTATATTCTTCTCCTGTCCTGTTCCTGACTTCCAAACTTCAAAACCTTGCCTTTGTTGCTCTCTCATCCTCCCTACTCCGTAACACCCAACTGTGCAGGAGGCAGAACGTCCCCTCTGGATGGGTCTCCCCTTCTCTCAATGGCAAGTTCCTCCTGCGGCCTTCACTTTGGAGAGGGGTCCAAGCTATTCTTCATTCCCCTCTCAGACCTATTCCTTACTTCCACACTTCGAAACAATATCCCTTATCCTTTTCAGCTCCTTTGTCCTTCTCCATTAGAATGTAAATCACATAAATACAGAATGTATGCAGGTTAGAGACTTCCCAGCTCTTGGATCCAGTCACCTTGGCCTCCATTAGGTTGAGCTAGATGACCTCTGTGTGCCTTCCAGCTCTAACTGTGATCCTATCATTTTCCTGGCTATATGATTTTCCCAGTAGTTATTTCTTTTCACTAATGTTCTGGAATCCCTCTAACTATGGGCCAAGGAAGATCTTGAAAGATCAACTCCACTTGAATGTTAGTATTCTGACACTGTCTATCTCTATGGGTAATCTTCTTAGGCAAAAATATGAAAGCCAATTTAAAACAGTGAAACAACTCAATTAGTAAGTCAACAGCTAGTGGCACAATTAACACCACAGGGCAGGGAGGACAGTGACATCAAGCAATCATGTACCAAGTCCAGCATTATGCTAGGCCAGCTAGCACAGTGCTACTGTCTATGAAGAGAATATAGTAAGTCTAAGGTTTAAAGAACATGGTGAAAGAGTGCCAGTCTTCTTCAAAAGATTTATCTGAAATTCAGAGTGAAATAGGATGCTAATTATCTACATTTCTCAATATCCACAATTTTTATCCCACATTCCCCTCCCCAAACGCCGCCAATACCACCACCCTTCAATAACTAGCTAAATATGGGCAGCTAGGTTGTGCAATGGATAGAGCACTGGGCTTGAAATAAGTAAGATTCATCTTCATGAGTTCAAATCCTACCTCAAACACTTACTAGCTGGGTGACCCTGGGCAAATCACTTAGCCCTGTTTACCTCAGTTTCCTCATCTGTAAAATGAGCCGGAAAAGGAAATAGCAAACTACTCCAGTATCTTTGCCAAGAAAACCCCAAAATGAGGTGACGAAGAGCTGGACACAACTGAAACAACTAACCATCAATAACCACACACTAAATATAGACTAATA